GCGATGAGTCCAAGATCACACCCAAACTGCGAACCTGCGTCTTCAGGGGGAGTGCGACCCCGTCCAACACAGCTGTAAATAAATAAATAAGTAAATAGATAGATAGAGAGAGAGACTGCATTGCCTTATCTCCAAGGCTAATCTAAAGTTTGATAGACAGGGAAAGATTTGTTCTTTCTAAAAGACAACAACTCTGGATTAGGGTGAAGGATCCCTGGATCCCTTTGCCACTTGGGGAAAGGCTGACTCAGTAACTGGTGGAGAAGAGAAAGGAGAAATTATCTATTTGGTTTATCAATTGACTGTTCTGTTTGCAACTTTGAGAAATAAATATCCTTTTTTGATGTTCAGAACTTGTAATAGACTCAGTTACTGAGAATCTCAATCTTCTCAGGAAAAGTCACCGGCAGTTCACCCAGACATAGGGAACAGCACATCATAGTTTTGGTTTTATATAAGCGTCTGGGTGTAACGGCACAAGTAGCTTCCCCCGCAGAAAAGTTTCACTTCTTAAGAATTCCGGGGAAAACAGTCTCAAAGCTCTGGCAGGGAGGTCACAGCCTCTCAGCCTTACAGCATCTGAGGGAAACCGCCCTAAAAGGTTTCTACAGACCCAAATAACTCCAGCTGGAGAATCTGCAAGCCTTGACTGGTAGGTCTACTCGGTGCTCAATACGCAGTTTGAATCCGGTAGTAGAACCCACATCAGTAAGGTCTAGATCAGTGGTACTCAACCTTCCTAACGACCCCTTAGTACAGGTCCTCATGTTATGGTGACCCCCAACCATAAAATTAGTTTTGTTGCTACTTCATAACTATCATTTTGCTGCTGTTATGAATAGTAATGTAAATATCTGGTATGCAGGATGTATTTTCATTCACTGGACCACGTTTGGCACAGATACCCAATACGCCCACATTTGAATATTGGTGGGATTGGGGAGGGGGGTGATTTTGTCCCGTGGGAGTTGTAGTTGCTGGGATTTATAGTTCACCTACAATCAAAGAATACTCTGAACTCTACCAATGATGGAAATGAACCAAACTTGGCACACAGAACTCCCATGACCAACGGAAAATACTGGAAGGGTTTGATGGGCATTGACCTTGAGTTTTGGAATTGTAGTTCACCTACATCCAGAGAGCACTGTGGACTCAAACAATGATGGATCTGGACCAAACTCTACACTAATACTCCATATGCTCAAATGTGAGCACTGGTGGAGATGGGGGAAATAGAATCTTGACATTTTGGGTTTGGGCAAAACATACCTTGACACTTGGGAGTTGTAGTTATTGGGATTTATAGTTCACCTACAATCAAAGAGCACTCTGAACTCTACCAACGATGGAATTGAACCAAACTTGGCACACAGATTGGAAGGGTTTGGTGGGCATTGACCTTGAGTTTGGGAGTTGTAGTTCACCTACATCTAGAGAGCACTGTGGACTCAAACAATGATGGATCTGGACCAAACTCCACACGAATACTCAATATGCCCAAATGTGAACACTGGTGGAGACCTTGACATTTGGGAGTTTATTGTGTGCCTACAATCAAAGAGCATTCTGAACACTACCAATGATTGAATTGGGACAAACATCCCACACAGAACCTCCATGATCAACAGAAAATACTATGTTTTCTGATGGTCTTTGGCGACCCCTCTGACACCCCCTCACGACCCCTCCAGGGGTCCCGACCCCCAGGTTGAGAAACACTGGTCTAGATAGTAGACAGCCTGGGAGAGCTTAAAAAAGGGTTTTCCTCTTAAAGTGAAAGAACAGTTAACGAAGACAGTTGCCTGTCCCTTGAGGAAGCCACCAGTTGACTCAAAGCCTTGAAGCGTTTGTTTGACTCATTGAAGATTTGAGAAGTATCTGTTTCATTTCATAGAATCATAGAATCAAAGAGTTGGAAGAGACCTCCTGGGCCATCCAGACCAACCCCATTCTGCCAAGAAGCAGGAATATTGCATTCAAAGCACCCCTGACAGATGGCCATCCAGCCTCTGTTTAAAAGCTTCCAGAGAAGGAGCGTCCACCACACTCCGGGGCAGAGAGTTCCACTGCTGAACGGCTCTCACAGTCAGGAAGTTCTTCCTCATGTTCAGATGGAATCTCCTCTCTTGTAGTTTGAAGCCGTTGCTCCATTGCGTCCTAGTCTCCAGGGAAGCAGAAAACAAGCTTGCTCCCTCCTCCCTGTGGCTTCCTCTCACATATTTATACATGGCTATCATATCTCCTCTCAGCCTTCTCTTCTTCAGGCTAAACATGCCCAGCTCCTTGAGCCGCTCCTCATAGGGCTTGTTCTCCAGACCCTTGATCATTTTAGTCGCCCTCCTCTGGACATTCCAGCTTGTCAATATCTCTCTTGAATTGTGGTGCCCAGAATTGGACACAATATTCCAGGTGTGGTCTAACCAAAGCAGAATAGAGGGGTAGCATTACTTCCTTAGATCTAGACAGTATGCTCCTATTGATGAAGGCCAAAATCCCATTGGCTTTTTTTGCCACCACATCACATTCCTGGCTCATGTTTAACTTGTTGTCCACGAGGACTCCAAGATCTTTTTCACACGTACTGCTCTCGAGCCAGGCATTGTCCCCCATTCTGTATCTTTGCATTTCGTTTTTCCTGCCAAAGTGGAGTATCTTGCATTTGTCACTGTTGAACTTCATTTTGTTAGTTTTGGCCCATCTCTCTAATCTGTCAAGATCGTTTTGAATCCTGCTCCTGTCCTCTGGAGTCTTGGCTATCCCTCCCAATTTGGTGTCGTCTGCAAACTTGATGATCATGCCTTCTAGCCCTTCATCTAAGTCATTAATAAAGATGTTGAACAGGACCGGGCCCATGACAGAACCCTGTGGCACTCCACTTGTCACTTCTTTCCAAGATGAAGAGGAAGCATTGGTGAGCACCCTCTGGGTTCGTCTATTTAACCAATTCCAGATCCACCTCACTGTAGTTTTGCCTCGCCCACATTGTTCAATAATAAAGGACTTTGTTAAATCATTAAAGACTCTAAGACCATTTCTACAGGAAAACCCTTGAGGGCCTCTCTTCGAGGCGCCCTGGCTTCCCGCTGGGCACAAAGTGCACTTCCTACTCAAAGTCAATTGTTACAGGCCCAGCGCATGTCAGAACACCGACACTTTGACAGGAAAATGAATGGAAAAGATATGGGATGGGAGGTGCCTGGCTCCACCACAGAGTTACATGTGAGAAAGGTCTTGGAGTCCTCGTGGGCAACAAGCTGAACATGAGCCAAGAGTGTGATGCAGCAGCTGAAAAAGCCAATGGGATTCTGGGCTGCATCCAAAGGAGTCGAGTGTCCAGATCCAGGGAAGTCCTGGCGCCTCTCCCTTCTGCTTTACCTGGAATCATACAATGTCCAATTCCGGGCAAAGCAGTTCAAATAGGATATTGACTCTAAGCTGGAAGGAGTCCAAAGGAAGAGGGAGACTCAAAGGACCCAAGGTCTGGAGACTATAAATCCCTATGAAGAGGAGAGAGCCTCAGAAGAGAAGGTTAAGAGGAGTCATGAGAGCCATGTCTCAATATGTGAAAGGGTGTCCTAAGGGAGAGGGAGAGGCTTCCTTTTCTGCAGCCCTGGAAACTAGGACTCAATGGAGACATGGGTTCAAAAGACAGGGAACATGAGGGAGAACTTCCTAGCCATAAGAAGAGATGTTCAGCCGTGGAACTCTCTGCCTCAGAGTGTGGTGGAGGCATTTAAACACAGGCTGGATAACCATCCGTTGGGGGGGCTTTGATCGTGCTTTTCCTGCATGGCAGAAGGGGGTTGGACTGGGTGGCCCACGTGGTCTCTTCCAACTCTTGGATTCTATGACCCTCTGCCTCGGAGTCCCTCTGCGGAGGTCTTTGAGTGAAATTTGCAAATGCTAAGCAAAGGGCTTTGAATGAAATTAACAGCAAAACAGAAACATACCCTTTCTCTGTAGAAAAGGAGCAACATGGAATAAAATGTTTTTGAGAGACAAGATGTCCCATGTAGAAGTCATACACAGTTCAAGTCTACATAGGAAGTAGTTGTGTTGTGGTTAAGTTCAAAGGTTGTGGTTAAGCGCAGAGTCTGCAGGTGCAAGAAGGTACTTTCCATCAAAAGGTCAAGGGAGAGGAGCTGGAAAGAGAGTACTTTCCATGACCTATTACTTGAGTATAAAGGTCAGCAGAAACAGAGGAGAGGCGCGGCAGTCACTTGAAGGGTAGCATCTGCGTATGCTGCCAGGCTGTCCGTCTTCTTCATGAAGAAATTAAAATAAACCTTGTTTTTTGATCTTTTTTGGGACTGTCTCCTTCCTCATGTGTTCCCGTGATGTGGACCTAAGAAGACCCAATTTAGGGTCTCTAAAAAAACCCTACAAATCCCAGGTT